CATGCAGCAGCGTGGCGCAGTGGAAGCGTGCTGGGCCCATAACCCATACAAAAATCTGCAGAAACTCCATCTTATCAAATTGAGGCGTAACGACTGGTTCATTGGGAAGAGTGTGTACCAGCAGTTGTCACATCAGTTACAAGAGATGCGCTTGGGGACTTATTTGAATACTAGTGATGGTAACTCCAAGTTTGTTCTAGGTTTTCGCGATCGCTCGAAGGGAGTATACCTCCTTACAGAAAAATTATGGCACTTGTTAATTCGTGTTTCAAGACTTCAGCATTAGAATGATATCTGCTGAGCGGTTGCCGCGTTGAATCTATGAGCGGGTTTCTAACCGAAAGGGTTACAAAGTACCTGTGTAACTCTCATGTACGAATAATGAGTTTTGCAGTGCTACCGAGTAGTTGAAACGAGCTTTCCGATTATTCTCAGTTGCGCTGTGAACAGTTTTCATGACGTAGGTAATGAATGATGTTAAATCAGGAGTTTGGTAAGCCTGCAAGGAAATAATGAATAGTATGTGAGAGCACTTGAAGAGAAGCGCTGGAAGCGCTATTGTACATCGGATGGTCACCACGAGTCATTGCATATGCTTAAAGGCACAGTTCACGATAAAAACGGTTTCTGAGTCCCCCCCCCCTAAGGACCCCGCCCCCTAAGGATACGTAGTGATCCCCAAGGGTAACAGGAATCCTAAAACTCATCACCTAGGGCATAGTGGATCGCCCAGACTTCCCGCCCCTCGATTGACCCATACACAATCAGCTGATCGCCGATTAATGGGGCGATGTTCTTCTCCTATTCTTTTATTCCGTGGTATTCTTTTAGTTGCTGCGATCTTTATTCTGATACTCTACCTCAAGAGGATGGAAAAGGTATCTATCTTTGTTGTCACAGGGTTTTTTTCGTCAACTTATGCTTATGAGTGAATGAAATTTCGCCCACCGTAGTCAGCTGTTTGCACCAGAACCCCCGTGTACGCAATGGAATTTATTACATAGCTCGTCCAAACGCCACACTCTTCTTCATCCTTCTGGTCTCATTTTCGTCCAGCCTACTTTGTGACAATTTTTCGAAGCCTTTTCCATTTTGGAAACACTAATTCAATTTCTTCTACTTCGTCGCAATATTTTCCATATTATCGTCCATTTTTCGTCAAAATCTGGATTGCATAAAATCATCGTGAACAGTGCCTTTAGTACGATTCAGAACACCACATTGATCCTTAATGGAAGTCAAATGCGGGGCTGCACCTCGAAAAAGTAGACAGACTTCATTGATGCCTTTTTGATCACAACACTAAAAGAACTCACAGCATTGGGATTTTCAAAAGGAAAAATATTGGCCAGATAAGTCGTATAGTAGCCAGGATTCTCTGTCAAGTAGGAAACAAGGTAGTCTAGTATGTTATTCGGATAAATGAACACATTGTCGACGGTGCTTCTGAAAAATTATGAATTATTGCGGCTGTGGAACCAGATCAAGACGGTCATATAACAAGTTATACCACACCCATCAATATTGCTAGTGTCTTTTACGTTCCTGGCTATGATGGTGAATGTTCTTTTCAGCGGTAAGACTTCTACCAATGGGCTGTCTTTAAGCTCAGAAGAACATTTTGCTGAAAGAGAAAAGTTGCAACATAACGGTGCAGCATTGAGCTCTGGTACTCCAACTTCTGAATGGAATAAAAAAATTTCTCACGGCTTCCATCAAGGGTAGCCAGTTGCTGACCACTCAAACGGTTCATTTGATTGTCCTTGGAGATACGCACTGAAAGCCAAATACTATATCCAGAAGGAATGGAATGACGCTATGGAACCTTACCTTCGTTTGAGCATAAGAACGGCACAGCTGAGCCTTTTCCATCTGATGACACCACCTGATGTACATATAATAGACTATGAACGCAGCATATTATGTTTATGTTTACTTGTTTTTTGACAAAACGAGGAACCATATGTTAAAAAAGTAAACATTGTCTCTATCTCTTACTGAGGAGGGTATAGAGGTAGGTCAGAGAGTTATTCTTAACTTACCGACAAAACTCCATAACTGGATTCCTTGCACTCTACCGTACCCAAAGAAACGGAAAATTGGCAGTCTGAACGTTCTTTCACGTCTGGAGTGAACTGTATTCCAGCTGACATATTCACCGATAGATTCTCGGTGACAGGAGTGTTTCCATTCAGAACTCGTGCCACAACCGTTCGCTGAGCGCCTGAAAGAGGAGTATAGTGGTTTGGTCACGAGCACCATCAATTTGCCCAACATCCTTGGGGACAGTTCCAGAATGACCTTAAAGCCGTATATAAACATTTGGGTTTGGACGAGTCCCGCCCTATAAGACGAGTAAGATGGCCTGTGTTCTTTGGGTGCCGGAACTTCTCTCCAAATTCCCACGGCAAGCGCCACAGGTCACGCAGCGGCTACCCTGTCCTTGCACTGGGAACAAACCTTCCCCTTCAAAGCGCGCAACTGCGCGCTTCGGGTGCTGTGAACGCGACGCCGTTTTCGTGGATAAGGTACCGGACCCGTGTTCTTCGAGCGAAAAGGGAATTTGGTCTTGATGCATATATGGGCAACACGCGGAAAATAGCTAATTGAGCAACCCTTCGCTACAACATGCATCCTTCTCATACGATTTTTTGCAGGTTACTGTAACGTACAGTACAGCAACCAGTACAGTAGTTACGGTATAGCGGTTGAAATAAAAGATGTTCATGTGGCGCCCTGGGGTGGAGTTTTCTGCGCGGAATCTTAGTTGGAACGAATCAGTAAATAACAGTAAACTAATGACAACAAATATACTCCAAACATACCAATGGTCCCGTAAGGCGATGATGCGTCAACACTGTCGGAGGAGCTCACGGCTGCGAATGTATTGAGAACAGAAGGCGACAAAACCTGCACGTTGAAATCAGAAGCAGATCCTGTATATTGGAGAGTAAAATTTGTCTTTCCGCTCTTCTCCTGTGCACTGCAAAATAGGCTATTTCTTCAAAGAATGATAAACTCGCAATAGTGACGCTCACTGATGCTATTTTTCAGAAAGGCGAGTGCTTAGAGACGGGAAATCCGAACGTTTCTTTGAGAACAGTCAAAACAGTCGAGGACGTAGCGAGTTTGGAATTACTTGATTGTCTTTTGAAATAGGATTCCACCACGTTTCAGTTAAATAAATCCTGATTAGGGTTTTTTGGAAATAAACTAAACTTGTACAGTGCTATAAAAAAGTAACCTTGGTGACCCTGCGAAAAGACATCTTTTGTTCTGCAGGAGGAAATCGAAAAGTAAACAGACATTCGATGAAAGTGCATTTATTCTACCAATCGGATCGCTGTGCTAATGTCGAGCTCTCGTCCTTTTCGTGTGAGCTTGGCCTGCCGCCTTCCAAGTTTGGACGCTTTGCTTTACGGGAGCAAGGGTCATACATAGATTACCAGCTAATCCCACAAACTCCTTCGCTTATATCCTAACTACGCCCCGAGGACGGGATACAGTTCAGTCACATCCTGGTTCATACCATCAGTGTCTTCACACTACCACCTTTACCCCTACCTAATATGAACGCCTCAGATCAAAATTAAATTTTCGTGGCTTTCCGTCCATTGAGGGCGGAGTCCAGTCGCCCCACCCACCACCAGCACATGCCGTCACCTGTAACCCCCATAAAATTCGAAAACTCTGTCCAAATCGAAAAATTTCGCCATTNTTGTACGTCGGATGGTCACCACGAGTCATGGCATATGCTTAAAGGCACAGTTCACGATAAAAACGGTT